TGTGTGTGTGTGTGTGTGTGTGCAATCAGACTCGCTTTCTTCCACACTTTACATGCATGCAAACAGTGCGCAGCAAACTGGCGACATGCGCCCACTCAGAACTCAGAGATATGGTAACCAAGATCGCAACTCAGTTGCGAACGCGTGCGCGAGAGAGAGAGAGAGAGTACACACACACACACACCCACACACACAATCAATCAATCAATCAATCAATCAATCAATCAATCAATCAATCAATCAACAAAACCAATCAAGGATCTTGATTGCTTTGGTTGATTGATTGATTGATTGATTGATTGATTGGTTGATTGGTTGATTGATTTGATTGATTGATGAATTGATTGATTGATTGATTGATTGATTGATTGATTGATTGAGTGTGTGTGTGTGTGTGTGTGCGTGTGTGTGCGTGTGTGTGTGTGTGTGTGTGTGTGCCGGGGGGACCCGGGGGAGGGGAGGGAGGACCCCTCCCCCACCAATCAATCAATCAATCAATCAATCAATCAATCAATCGAATTTTTTTATTTTTTTTTTATTTTATTTTATTTTTCACATACAAAAAATCGGCCCCCCAAATTTTTTTTTTATTTTGCACAGGCCTATAGAGGCCGACGTGTGCAGGCCAAGCGCGCGCGTCGATTTTGCGCGCGCGCCCCGCCTGGGCGTGGCGCGGCCGCTGGCCTGCGGCCTAGGAGGTCGGCCGCGGATTGGGATCCTGTGGCCGCGGCGGAGGGTGCCACGTAGGCGGTCGGGCCAAAAATTCCCTGCCCAGTTGCGCCATCAAAAAAACAAGAAAGAAGCTGCATCGGCCGTTGTTCTCCGCGCTTGCTATGGCATGTCCTACCAACCGCCGTGGACCCAGCTTTCCCAAAAGAACAGGGGCAGTGGTGCAATTGGGTCCGGCCCCTTCTTCTCCACCTCCCTCAGCTCCAACCCCCAAAGTACCATTGCACAGAAGATGGCGCTCATCCAGAAAAGAGATCTTCGCACCCCTAAGTTGACCAACCAGGAACTTATGCCCTCTACTCTCCCACCACAGACCTAGCTGTATATTTAATGTGGGGTACTTATCATCGAGACGCCTATCATCATCACCAGTTGGAACCCACGAGACCAACCAGTGACTCACGCCCTCTACTCGCCCACCACAGACCCTACCTGTATTTTTAAGGCAGGTTACTTATCATTGAGACACCTATCATCATTATTAGTTGATCATGACCTCTTCTCGGCCCTATAGTCGTGTGTGTATGTGCCCACCACAGACCCTACCTGTATTTTTAAGGCGGGGTACTTATCATTGAGACACCGATCATCACTATCAGTTGATCATGACCTCTTCTCGGCCCTATAGTCGTGTGTGTATGTGCNTATTTTTAAGGCGGGGTACTTATCATTGAGACACCGATCATCACTATCAGTTGATCATGACCTCTTCTCGGCCCTATAGTCGTGTGTGTATGTGCGTGTTTGTGTGTTCGGTATCGTTGGTATGTGCCCGCAGGCTATGTGTCTGTTTGTAGTAGTGTGTGCAGACCCGATTTCGTAGCAGATGCCGCTCCCCACCGTGGTATCTGCTGAGTGTATACCGGTGAGAGGTGCTGCTCCTATCACCACCACCAGTACATGTGTGTGCGCGTGTGTGTCTTAGTCTACGTGGATCTGGGGTAGTGTCTCTTGTTTGTATGTAATATGAGGTAGAGACAGGCCTATCTGGACAGGACCCCCCCAAGTCCAGAACCGGACTCGAACCTGTGACCTACAGTATGAGACAGGAGGGTTCTACCACATGCACGACAGTAAGAAGTGTACGGATTCGGACTCAAACCTGTGACCTACAGTATGAGACTGGAGGGTTCTACCACATGCACTACAGTAGGAAGTGGAACAATGTGTGAAATATCTAGGCTGGGGAAGATCATCAGAGAGACCCCCCAAAGTCTTGACCAGCATACAACACCCATGGACTGACCCCCTGGATGGTGCGCAGGCAGTGTCTGTAATACTACCATGCGTCAGCCCACGGGAGTGTGTGTCCATCCGTGCGTCATTCTAACGCCCTGCCCGTGTCCATTCGCAAGGCTTTTGAGTTTTGAACCCGCAACCTTCGTAACACAATGCACATTTCCAACCAGTGCTCTTGATGCGGAGCTGGGCTCGAATCCCTCCCCCGGCGGCGTGCGTGCCCTCCCACGAAGGGCCTCCTGTTTTCTTTTTCCTTTTTTGTGAAGGCTCCGTGTTCCACATTCGGAAACAGAATTTAGAGCATACTTTTTTTTTTTTTTTTTTTTAATTTAGGGCACACTCACACTAGCACGATTCTACTTATTTCTAGGTTGGAATGCGGCCGGATGCATAGAGATCTTGCCGTAAATGCAGTCAGGTACATGTGAGTTAGTACTAGTGTGAGCACGCCCTTAGGAAAGGGAAAAAAAAAAGACCTGAGGAAAGGGAAAAAAAAAGGCAAACTGGACGAAGGGCCCACACTACGTGGATCCCCAACGTAGATGACTACGCATCACACTACCACGATTTTACTTATTTCTAGATTGGAATGCGGCCAGATGCATACAGGTCTTGCCGTAAATGCGCTCAGATACATGTGAGTTAATACTGGTGTGAGTACGCCCTTAGGAAAGGGGGAAAAAAAAAGACTTCCGGAAAAGGAAAAAAAACAAAAAGGCCCAAAAAAAAAAAAAAAAAAAAAAAAAAAAAAAAAAACACTTGACTGGACGCAGGGCCCACACTACGTGGATCCCCGACGTAGTAGATAACTACGCATCCGCATTCCACGGGAGTAGTCTGAGTTCGTTCGGAAGTTTCTCAAGCAGGTCACCTGTTCATCCATCCACTTGTGAGAACGTTACGCAAAAATAGTGGAAGTCTTCCTCTTGTTCTTCTTCTATTTCTTCTGCTTTTTGACTCCTCCATAGCCTGGCAGTAGATGCTTCTTCGCCTTCTCTCTCGTGTTCGGCGCCAGGCGGAACGGTAGCAGAGATATTACACTTCGTCTTCTTCGTGTGAAAGCGTCCGCCATTTCTTCTTCTTGTTCTTCTTCTTCTTCTTCTTCTTCTTCTTCTTCTTTTTCTTCTTCTTCTTCGTTTTGTAGCAGGCTGATCGACGATCGGATTGCTCGGTGAAACTTACGGTGCAGACAGACTGCAGATATGAGTCCTCGCACTGAAGTTCCAGAGGATTATGCTGCGGACGCGGTCCCGCGTTGCATTCCGGCAGGCGCTTACGAGAGTTCGATTCCAATGCCGGCATCGAAGGATGGGTACAAGGACAGCGGCGAGAAGAAGCAGAATCCCGTAGAGGCGATCCTTAAGGTCGCGAACCCGGGTCCTCTGGGCCTGACTGCCTTCGCTGTCACGACCTTCACTCTGTCTATGTTCAATGCTGGTATCTTGCCGAGATCCGTCGAGAAGGTCGCTGTTCCGCTGGGTTATTTCTATGGAGGGTCTGTGCAGCTTCTCGCTGGACTTGCTGAGATATTCGCTCGGAATACTTTTGGCGCCACCGCGTTCTGCTCTTATGGCGCATTTTGGATTGCTTTTGGATATTACGTGATGGAGATCGTTCCGAGCTTCGATGGGCCGGAAAAGGACAACGTGCACGTCGCCACAGGATTGTTTTTGTTCACTTTCACGGTGTTCACGACCTACATGGCCATCGCCTCAACAAGGACGTTTCGTGCGCTCACCGCCGTCTTCGTGTGCTTGGGTCTCACCTTCTTCTTCCTCACGATCGGCGAATGGGCAGAGTCGGACGGAGTCAAGAAGACCGGCGGTTACTTCGGGATCATCACGTCCATCCTGGCCTGGTACTGTTCCTTCGGGCTAGTCCTGCTAGACACGTGGAAGTACGAGGTCATACCGCTCATGTTCTACAAACACCGGCAGGAGTAATGCTTTGGTAGGTCACTGCTTTTCATGCTGTGTGCAAATCGTGGATGATAGAGATACAGACAGACAGATAGGTAGATTGGTAGATAGATAGATAGATAGATAGATAGATAGAATAGATAGATGTGTAGAGAGAGAGAGAGGGAGACGGATGTGAATATATGCGGGGGTTTGGGTTGCTATTGCTGACTTATTCATTCATTCACTGTCGTTGGTGCAATAATGCGCATAGGATTAGTGAGTCCGATTTTTTTATTTTTATTTTAATTCTTTGTGTGTGTGTGTTTGAGAGAGAGAGAGAAAGAGAGAGTAACCGACCATTCTTTTGGCCTAATGTGAATAGACGGAGTCTTTTAGGCTACTACTTAAATTGCGCTATATATTGACTCGTAACTGTCGTTGTTGTGCGCTCAGGATTTGTGACGAGGATGAAATAGTTCAGAGGTGGCTTCTGCACCTGTAATATTTCGAACTACGGGATTGTTTACACTGTAAGCAGGTTTTCGCTGCGCAATTCAAGTTTGCAGGCAGCAGGTTCTCTTGCTACGTTGAGGGTTGGTGGATCCGGTTTGCAGCAGGTGTAGCTCTCCACCATTAGTGAGACGCTGTTTCAGCCGGATTTCAGGTTTCAGCCAGATTTCAGGTTATGTCTCGTCTTATTCTAGTGTCTGTTGGGGTTTTCGTAACTGGCTTATTTATTGCCTAATGAAATTGTTAAGCCTTATGAACGTCAATCTTGTTACGCTGGGATTTAGTTTACGCTAGTGGAGTATCGCGGTCGCGGTCGCGGAGATGTTCTTGGTTGAATGGTTGCCGTATTCCTCGTTTGCGACCGCTCGTCTGAGGCGAATCTCATTCGATGCGAGATTTGATGACGTAATTACCCTGCAGTACAGATCCGAGGTTCAACTGACTGATCCTGAGAGTGCTCTGCACTCAGTACTCCTAATAGTATATATATGAATTGACTGGGGGATGCGTGAATTGCTTCGAGTTGTGAGGTCACCTCGTCATCGATTAAAATTTTATGTCTTCGAAGGGTTGACAGACTTTCTTGAGAGACTGGAAAGATGGATGATGCTGTGCTCTACGTCGAATGACAGTTTTCCACGCTCACGAAGTTGTACGCAAATGTTTCTGGCTTCTTTATGGGAGAGATTATGACGTTATGTTCGTGGTCGTATGGTGAGTGCTCACGCTCTTGTTGTGTGTCTCTCTTCTCCATTCACGAGTGCTTCGCACATCTTGTGTTCTTAAACTAGGGTCTCTCTCTCACACAACGCGCACACACTTACGCCCACACAAGTACACGCCCACAGATTCCCATGCCCAAACCCCCCCCCCCCCCCCCCCCCCCCCCNCCCCCCCCACCCTCACCACACACACACACACACACACACACACACATAGAGCGATAGAGAGGGAGATGATTTTTGTTCGATCGACCTGGATGCCCACCGCCTTGTTCCTTTTGTTCCCTCCTCTGAGCGTACTTGTCATCATTGAGACCGGAAGTCCATCCGGATGAGTGGCTCTGCGTCCCTGTGTTCCTGTGCGATTTGAAGAATGTGGGGGTGGGTTCGTAAACAGCCTCCTGTGCGGTGCGGTTGTGTTTGAGTGCCTGTGGGTGTGCGTGCCGCGCGTACTCTTGAGCTAATTTAGGCGGCGTACTTGGTCTTCCGTCCTCCTGAACGACATATGTTGTGAAGGAGCATTTCATTTCTTTTTTGTTTTTTTTTTCCGAAGCTGGGTTCACAGTGCATCACCTGACTTCCTGATGACGGTTCTACAATCTATCCTCTCTCTCTCTCTCTCTCTCTCTCTCTCTCTCTCTCTCTCTCTCTCTCTCTCTCCCTCTCTCTCTGTTTCTTTGTCCATCTCTTCCTCTCTGAGAGTCGACGTTGCGGCGTATAAATGGAAGGTTCGGAGGAGGAACAGGCGTTAGTGAGAGGAATACCAAGAAGTTAACGAAATTGCGCTTGCTAAGGGCGTCGACGCACGGGACATGAAACGAAAAACGAAACGAGTGCATCTTCCTGCATAAAATGGCCAGGTTCATCGGTTTGCTATAAATAGTAACCAGTGTATTTTGCCCCCTTTCGTGGGCAGATGCACTCTTTTCGTTTTCGTTTCGTGTGCCGTGCGGCGAGAGCGTAACTCCTGCTCCTCCGAACCGTCCATTTATACGCCACGAACTTCGTGAACTTTTTGGGTTTACACTTTTTGCTCCTTCCATAAGCGCGAACGTGTACGGCTGGCGAGTGTACGCTGCTTTTTTTTTTTTTTTCCCTTTTTGGGAATTGCAGATTTTGTCGGAAAGGGAACGAATTTCTTTTTTTATTTTCCATTTTGTTCTCCTCTTTCTATTTTTGTTTGCGCAGGGGCCATGCTATTTTGGATGGATGTCCAGAGGGACTGCCTGCAACCAGTTTCTGTTCCGGAGGAAAAGGCAAGTGGAATTCAATGGTAGCGTTTGACCTTGTGTGCTCTGCGTGTTTGCTTTCGGGGTTGTAGTGATCATCACTTTCGGGCTTTGCATTCTTTCATCGAGTTGCTGGAAGGTTGGCTTACTGAATTTCCTTCGCCCCCCCCTGAAAACTGAGAAAACGGGGTGTGTTCTGTCGCAGTCGGCTTTCACAGGGTTGGTCTGAGACCTGAGTCGAATAGATAAGGGTGATCCTTCGGGAAATCGGTTTGAAATCGTAACGATACAGAGAAGATCAGTATGGTCCCATGCATCGAGAAATGGAGAAGAACGTAGTAAAAAAAAAAAAAAAAAAACGAATGGTCCTAAAACTGATGCAGGGCAAACACGAACGTAGTACAGACTCTCAACGAGACTTGCAAATCATCGGCTTCCGATTTGTTTTGCTTTTCTTCGTTGTTTGAAAAAGAACATCAGTTTCCGAATCGAAGAAAAAGGAGAAGAAAAGAACATCAATAGCATTCTATCACATCGACCTGTCGTGTATATGTAACGTAACTGAAGCGACGGGGGGCCTTGCTTTGAGTGTACAATTTTTTGTATGAAAGGTGGATCATTCTGCTCGAGAATATGCTTGAGGATTTGTACAAGGGTTGGATCATTCTGCTTGACAATTTGTATAGAGCACTACCGTCTTCCCCCGAACATAACAGACCCTCATTTTGCCTGCACCCGACCGGAAAGATAGCTTCTATACATTCATGATCAGGGTGCGTTATATTCGGGGGAAGACGGTAGTACCTTTGGCGTCCGGTTTCGACAAGTAGTTGCCAGCTCTCGTACTTTCAGGAGGCCGAGCCCGACGTTGATCGATCTGATCGGCGGCCGTTTCTGTTCGGCTTCCTGAAAGGCCGAGTATTTTCGAACCGACAAAGGTACTACCGTCTTCCCACGAACATCACGCACCCTAAAAATGAATGTATGCAAGCTATATTTCCGGCCGTATACAGCCAAAATAAGGGTGCGTTGTGTTCGGGGGAAGACGGTAGTGGTATAAGAGTTGGATCATCGCTCGTCTAACTATACATTGCTGCTCGAGAGTATGGGCCTTGCCACACTACTGTCGAAGCGAATAAAAGTACGAGTGCATCTTTCGGTAGAGAATGGCAAGATTCACTCGTTAGTACGAATAGCAACGGGTGCATCTTGCCGCTTTCTGGGGAAGATGCATTCGTTCTTTTCACGTTCCGACAGTGTGGTGTGGCGAGGCCCTGTAGTTTGAGAGCCCGGCGTTGTAGAGAAAAGTGGAGCGATGTTTTGTGGAGTCTGATAGTACACGGATCATCAGCCTCACGGCCCAGGGTTACACATTACGTGCCTCGCCTCAGCGCTGGCGAAATGAAAAACAAACGAATGCATTTTACCGCGGAAAAGCGCAATATGCATCCGTTATTATGAATAGCAATGGATCTGCGGCAGATGCATCCGTTCTCCTTTCGTTCTGACAGTGGTGAGGCGAGGCTCTACGAGTCTAACACCCTGCTGCCGGTCCCCGAACACATCCTATAACCATACCATGCTTGCTTGTGCCGTTCCTTTTACACTGCAAAAATAGCGATCGTTATCAAATGTTTTGAAATTCAGAGAAAGACACCAGCTCTTAGATTATCAAAAACACCCACGTCCTTTTACCCAAAGAAAAAAAAAGAAAAAAAAAAAGAAAAAAAATAACACGCACGTTAAGTGTTACGATCACGTCATATTGATAAGAAGTCTAGAGAAAATTTGAAATGGAGATCCATGAACAATTGTCAATGATTTGTCATACAGACAGAAACAAAACAATGCGCAAGCAGACTTCAGCTTCACCTAAATTGTGTGTCCACCAAGTTTGTTCAATGGAGTCGAATCAGTCGATCAATGCAAAACACAAAAAGAAGAGCCTAGGTCAGTGGGTACACCATTGAACTGTTGAAATACAGACCCGTGTTCGAACCTAGATGATGGAACTTGACGAGTAAAACCAAACATTTGTGAATTGCCTGGGGCCCGTCTACTCAGTGATGATATCACAAGACCGTCGCCCTCATTTAAAAAAAAAAAAAAAAAAAAAAAAAAAAGTAATTGGAGAATGGACTTGAAAAGTCGAACGGTGTTTTTTGAACATTTGTTCCGTTGAAAAAGAAAAAGAAAAAAAAAAACACAAGCAATTGGAGAATTGACTTGAAAAGTCGAAGTGTTTTCTGAACTTTTGCTCCGTTTGTTGACATAAGACTCTGGTTGCTTGCAGGGTTTGTTTGCAATTTGGTGCGCGGAGTGTAATCATATCTCAATTATACATATGATTCTCCGATCATTTGCGTACTTTATATTTTGGACTCTTGCGAAGGCTGCTGCCGCGTGGACGGCGAAAAGCTTAGTAGGGGTTACTCGCGCTAGGGACTAGTAGGGAGTGTAGGGTTGGTGCGGCCTGGTGCTGAAGAAGGGGAAGAAGAAGAGAAATAAGGGGTGTGATTTGTTTATAATACCCAGAGGTGTACTTAGGGTACGTTTATTGGTGGGCAGCTTCATGTATGTAGGGGGCTCGGAAAAGCAGAGTCTGACTCGTGCATCAGGCTCATATAGTGTATGATGGATCCAATCTCTTGGTGGAAGTCTGCACTTGCTGGAAGACGGGTCCAGCATCCCTTCACACGGAGACATTTCTGCCGATCCTATCACTGTTTTGACTGCAAAGATATACTTCGTTCGTCTTAAAAGACTTAAGTTTGTGATTATCAGCCAATGTTGGGAGATTACATGAGAGTGGGATCAGCTCCCTTTTATGATGAAAGATTGCTGTAATCTGATTCTAGATCTGCCTGAGTTCTGTTCTCGACTTTGCATACTGGTGGTCATTGGGCACAACGTTTAATGAATGAATCGAGACGAAAGATAACAATCGAGTCCTTCGGGACATCCGTTAAAATTGGAACGATACAGAGAAAGAGAAGATTAGCTTGGCCCCTGCGCTTTAAAGGATGACACGCATAAATCGAGAAATGGTCAAAAAAAAAAAAAAAAAAAAGGATAAAAATCGGATACAGCTATTTTTGATGCGAAGCCGGTCGCTCAATTAGAATTCAAAGCGCTACCGGTAGCTCGATTAGAGTTCGAAGTGCTGATCAGAGCTTTGTGTGGAACAGACGGAGAAGGGCGCTATCTGATAGCACGTCGGGGACAGAGGAGGACCGAGTCACCTTCGGAACTGGGCCCACCGATACTCGTCGGTTATAAACACCTGCAAGAAAGATGGTCGGTCATTTTATACGCGAGGTTAATGTGCACAAGTTAGCGTAGAAGCAGGTCTCTGCTTGCAGGGGTCCCCTCTATGTACTCTTTAGTAGTAGTGGTAGGAAGGTAGGGAAAGGCAAAAAAGAATTTGCGAGAAGAACATAGGGCCTCGCTCCACTACTCTCGAAATGTGCAAAACGAGAGTGAATCTTCGCCTAGAACATAGAAAGATACACCACCATGATTTTTGTCTTATGTGCATTTCTAGAGTAGTGGAGCGATCCCCATACTGTAGTTAAAAAAAAAAAAAAAAAAAAGAAGTAGGTCTCTCTGGCAGAGGATGCACAGCAGGATGGATTATATTTCTCTGACATGTAACGTAGGGCTGGATTCTGGGTGTGAATATGGCGTTCCGTTTCGGGCCGAAGAGTCCCAGTTCCGTTGTGCCTATCTTTATGGTGGTGTTTCTATTATTGACAACTTGCCCCCTGGTGGTAGCAGGGCATTCCGTTGTGCCTATCTTTATGGTGTTTCTATTTTTATTTTTTTTATTTAAAAGGGCGACGGTCTTGAGATATCGAGCTCCCAGGCAATTTGTTAGTGGTTGGTTTTGCTTGTCAAGTTCCATCATCTGGATTTGAACACAGGTCTGTATTTCAACAGTGCAATTGTGTACCCGCTGAGCTAGGCTCTTGGGTGGTGTTTCTATTATTGGCAACTTGCCCCTGATGGTAGCAGGGGCATGTTCCGCACCAATGGGTGTGGGTGGAGACTCTGGACAGCCTCGGCAAAAGGAGCGCACGTACAGCTCCTGCGTCCCATAGAAGCTGTACTGAATACAACGTACGGTCATTATAGCAGTATTTAAGACTGAACGATAGGCCAGATTGGGCTACAATGACCGTACGTTGTATTCGGGGGAAGAGGGTAGTAGGCAGACCGAGGAACGAAGCCTCAGGCACGGCCTTTTCATTTTTCTGTGAGGGAAATGGGAAAAATTGTCTGGCGCCCCTGTAATTTGCGTTATTTTGTGTCACGCCCCTCCGACGGCCGATTTATCCTGTCGCGCCCCTGGGCCAAAAAATATTTTTGGCAGGCCCTTCTCGGTAGTGACCGCAACTTTCCAGGAAGCCCTCCATGGACTCACGGTCGGGCCCTGTGCCATATGCCCTCATGACGGGCAGCCATCTTTCTGCAATGCCCCTGCAGCCGTGAGGCACCACAAATTCGCATTTCCATCAGGCCCTGTGCCATATCGTCCGCTGCCCTGCAAGTGTGTGTGTGTGTGTGTGTGTGTGTGTGTGTGTGTGTGTGAGAGAGAGAGAGAGAGAAGTCACCAGGGTGACTTCTCTCTCTCTCTCTCTCTCTCTCTCTCTCTCTCTCTCTCTCTCTCTCTCTCTCTCCCTGATTTGCGTCCCAGACTTCTTCTTTCCGGCCTTTGCACTCATGGAGATTTTTGTTGCCCTCGTCGTTGACTCAGACTGTCCACCACTAACATCGTTTCGTTTGTCGGAAGAAGGAGCCGGCCCTGCATCTGGGAAAGCAGTAGAAGATGTGGCAGGTGTGGACGACTTGGCAGCAGATGCCGTGACAGCAGCTGATGCGGCAGCAGATGATGACGTAGCAGCAAATGGCTTGGTAGGAAATGGATTGGCAGCAGATAACGTGGCATAAGATGATGTAGCAGCAGATGAGCAAATGGCTTGGTAGCAAATGGACCGGCAGCAGATGACG